CTTAACATGACCTTTCAACGCGTCATTCGAGAAATGACCTCAATGACCTTGAAAATCATTTTTAATTTTTCCATAATAAAATACTCTGTCCACTCGTTCACAATTTCAAGAAAGATTAATGATAAGCGTAATCACTGTGAACAATTTATTTCTATTTCAAATGAGATAAATATCAATAGATACAGAGAAACATTTGTAACATTTTGATTGACGTCAACTATTAGAGACTGAAAAAGAATTGGAACTGTATTAACTGACTATCTCAAAATTAACTTATTACAATACTAATATTGTTACCACGATTATCATGACAATTATTAACCTTGAATACAAACTCAATGAACAATTCATTTCATTATCGATTTTAACATAAACAAAGTGACCATTGAGATTTGTTGTGACCATTGAGACAAGTTTTGTTTCTAATTGATTTTGTGCATCACGATAAACTCATTGATACGTGTACCATGATTGGTGTGATTTCCATGTAATTTTCCTCTTGAATTTGAAAACAGAAACTCACAGTTACATGGAAAAGTATTTATTTATTATATTGGCTGAGAATAATATGTTTCAATGAACACAACAGATTCATTCAGCTGAAAGATTTTCCTCTTCCTATTTCTGATCATTTACTCAACTTTTATCTTTATTATTATCTACAATAATTTTTACTGTCTCTCTCAATCATACTTGCTTCATCATCATCATGAAAATCCTCTTGATTCAAGATAAACAGAATCAATCTTGAATCAGGGAAAAAAGGCTGAGTAAACACCAAATGAATCCAATTGTGTATTCAATCAAACATTAACTTGAATTGAAGCTTTTGTATTCTTGATTCGTTGCGAGTTTATGTTAAGGTTGATTGTTTATTTCACTTGATTTTATATTGGTGTTTTTTCCTGTTGTTTTTATGCTCGTCACCTCCTCCATCCACTGGCAAGCTTGTTCAATATCAACACTATTTAAATGTAACCATCATCATCTTCATGATCGTCACAGAGTATTGTGTATATAAGTGCAGCTGAAACAAGTTTCAAGAACCAATTTGTATGGATCATGAATATTGACAATAGAAAAAGATGGAACTTTTTTTCTGCATCAATCAACAGTTTTGAGACAAATCATCTGATCAATTCAATCTAAATCTACATTTCATGAAGTTTATCAAGAAGCAATAAAATGAAGAGAAAATAAAGTTGAGACCTCACGCAAGCTCCAAATCAGAACATGATATTCAATATGAATACAATCAATTCGATTAGTAGTATCAATGAGAAATACTGAGTTTACACAGAGTTTCAGGTGTTTTCACAAAAAAAGATTCTCGCGACTGTGACATTGCAAACAAAAAAATCAAGAACCTATTTTCATCACGTGCTCTTCGTTCCAATTGAAGCTACATAGTAAAACTCACATTGGTTTCAATGTTGAGCCTGAAGGCAAGTATGTGTTACCTGGAAGGAGGTAAAGAACTAGCGGTGAATTTGATGTTAGCCAATAAAAAGCACTACAAAGAAAAAAATATAATCCTCTAGATAAAAAATATTAACAGAGTTGAATTGTATTAGTTTAGTTTTTTTCTGGCGGTTTCATGATTAACATGAAAAATTTTTCATATAATTTATCCTCAGGCTATCCATGTACACACTTGAATCTTATATTCTCTCATGTAATAACATGATGCTTCAATATTGTTCAATAAATAACAGTTTAAAGAGCATTTCAATTTAAACTTTTACCACAAAATTTCATTGCGTGTTACAAAAAGCATCCAGAAAAGCTCTGTATATTATTGTTATGATACAACTACTAAAGGCTCCAAAATAGTGGACTTTTGTCTTGCTGCTAATAAACTCAAGTATTTGTTTACTGGTCCGATGATTAGCTCTTGCATTCATCATTTAGTTTTGGTTAAAATTATTATGAGTGGGGATTTCTCCTCGTCAAGTTTGACTTTGCAGTTTATGGGTAAAAGTCTCGATAAAAGTTTAATTATCATTATTAATACATTGCAGATTAATTAGAGCAAACAAATGAATGTTTGAGTTTCGGCTCAATTACAAAATTGATTCAGACGTTTCTCTGTTTCTTTCCCCTTCCGGATTTTTATTTTGCTACTTCCGTTTTCTTGATTTTTTTTCATTTACCTTTTATCATGATGTTACTTTTGTTCGACTTTTCAAAGTTTACATGGTGATAATTCATGAGATGATATTCAAAATGTTTCGAGTGAAGTGCTAACTGAAATGAAAAGAAGGTTAAAAAGGAAATGATCTTCCTCATCATGTATATGAATAGAAAGACAAGATACACTTGAGAGAGAGATAGACTTATTTTATACTAACTATCCCCTTCTCTCCATCTTCTTGTTTTCATGTGTTTTTTTCCTGAGAAACCTGAGATTTTGTTTCCTTCCCTTTTCTCTCTTCAGTTGAATGAATACACTGTTATCCTTCAATGAACATGATATGATGACAGAAAAAAATGCCACTAAAAGACAAGAGAGTAAAAGAACAGGTCAACTCAAGATTGAATTGAAGGACACAAGCTGACCAATAAAAGGCAAATACTATTCAAGATAAGAGGCAAGATGATAAGATAAAAAATACAATACTTACAATAATAAACAAGAAAAATGTCAACTATCGATAAGTGATTCAACTTTCATCGAGGAGGAAAAAAAGTTTGTCTTTAATGAAAAAACAAAGTAAACAAATATCAAGTTATACATAAACCTTAGCTCTCTCTCTCTCCTCCTTTATTGCTATCACTCAACGGTTAACTGAATCCCATGTAGCTAAAATTTTAAATTCATTTATTATTCAACATATTCAGGAGTTCACAAGAAAACTCCATTACAGTTCACTCATCAAAATCAATTCCATGTGTGAGCTCATGTTCATGGAAAAGAAAAGTTTTTTTGCCCACTGCCTGAAAAATCAACAGTTACTCATTGGACCATAGAAATTGGATGCTGGGCAGAAAATGATGACAAAGATGATGAAGATGAGAACAGTGAAGAGCCTGAGTTGGCTCTCCCTCATCTTCATCGTCTTCTGTCCCATCAAATGTTTATTTCTATTACGTTTTCATAATATTATATCTTCCTCATCTTCTTTATCATCATTCAGTTTTGTGTCTACTTATTTGTGATCTCTCTCTCTCTCTCTCTCTCTCTCTTCTCTTCATAACTCAAACTGCTCATTTGAAATTCAGTCTGTGATCATCAATATTTTGCTTCACTTTCCTTTTCCAGAATTTCAAATCATTTATCATCATCATGATTTTTTTTCTTCTTCCATGACAAATTCAATAGTAACAAGAACAATCTTCCAAATCCTAAACTTTTCACCAGCATCTTCAAAAATCATCTAAACCAAATGTCTAACATCTTTTTGCGCTTTTTTCTCACCATGAAGTTTATCATCTTCATGATATGTTGAACAATATGCAATTGAAATAAGTTCACTGTTTGTACGATTATCTGTTACATTGAAATCATTTTTTTCTCTTTAAACGTAATAAATTTATCATATGAATACCAAATTGTTGCAGAGAAACAATTATCTTTCAAATGAATTCTAGAATACTCCAGATAATGTAATCTGAGATCCATTTGAAAACAACGAGATAAAATTTGACTTGAATCATCATGATAAAGTGGATGATAAACATGAGTGAACAAATGAATTTCATATTATCATGAGATTAACCTATTGATAATGTAGCATGTTATTATTAGTTAAACCAATCAATTGTTCAATAGTTTCAAGTTATTCATTAACATTTAGCTTGACAGGTTAAAGAGTTAAATCAAGTGTATGAATTAATATATTGGATTTAAGATCAAGTCAAGTGTTTAAAGTGGATGACTTTATGTGAAGTACAGTTAATCATAGTAACATGAGAAAAGTAAATTAGTTTCATTATATTCATGATGAAGAAAGATTGAAAATAAAAGTGGAAAGTGAGAAATCGTGTTGACTGATGATTTCTGAGCGTTACTTAAGGTTGAATTTATTATAAAAAAGGACGATAACTGTTAAAACAAGTTAATTAAATCAATTGAAATTTCTGGTTGAATGATGAAGAAATAATAATAAGATGATGGAAACTAATTTAGTTCATCATGTCGAACCTGGTTAGTCATCATCATCATCATCATCATCTTTGTGTTCATCATTTTGACATAATCAACTTTCTTATATAATATAAGAGGAGTGAGATGATGAAGATGAAGATGGAGATGAGGATGAAGATGCTAAAGTAACACAATACTCTTCATAATGGCTCTAGTTACATAGTCGAGTTTTTTTTTCATCATCATCTCTCTTCCAGTTTCTATTGAAAGATGAAAGGAGTCATGATGATGATGATGATGATGAACATGGCTGAAAAAATCTGAGTAAGATGAAGCAAATATTAATATCAAGAAAATATAATGGGTTAGTGGATGAAAATGGTGGAAGAAAAAATTTTCCCAACAATAAGATCTCAAGTATTATATAAATGGAGTATGTTGATTGACAACAGTTTGAATCATATTATTAGTTTAGTTAAAGTGATTGATGAATTGTTTTCATGACAACAATCAAGAGAAATACAGAAAATCATCACCATGGAAAAGATAATATTCCTTGAACATTATCTGCAGTTTTTCAACGGAGAACTGAATTATTTTACTATTTATCCCATGATATGATTACTTCTTGAAGTATGAGGTCAATTTTGATACAATTGTAGACAAAATGTATTCAAATTCATTGTATATGTTTTTTAATCGTGATTGACATGACCGGAAAAGAGAGCAAGTTAGATGATTTATGATGAACATTTTTTGCCCGCTTTTTCATGTGGCTGGAATTTGAATTCACAATTTTCATGGTGATTATGAATATCACATTAATATTCAAATAAGTATCATAAATATATTGCAAACGATTAGAGATGAAGACAGTGAGATGATGATGATGATAATAAGATGATAAGCTTACCAGAATTTGGTTGATCTTTTAAACATTTATCATAAACTTCATCTACATTTTCAAATCGGTATTGCGGAGGTTTCATGAGTAATATTTTCGGTAATGTTCTGATGAACAGTTTTCGGACCCATGGAGCCATTTTATGGGTTGAAGGTGATCTAAAGTGTACATTTAGTATTGCTATTGTCACCACAACTGAACAGGTAACCAATACCATGGTGAAACAAAGGTAACTCCCAAGAAGTGGCACCGAAAGGGAGGTTGTTGGTATTATCTCAATGAGAACGAGAAGGAAGAAAGTTAATGATAGAAGGATGAAAATTGATAACGAAACCTGAAAGAAGAAAAAGAAAAAAAAATTAGATTATAAGGTGAGATCAGAAATAGAAACAGAATCGATAAGCCAGATTAGATAACGATTTTGAAGTGATGAGTAAAGTGATGGTGGAGATAAAGTTGAAAATGTCTTCTTATCGTCAAGGTGAAAGAATATTATATTCTGAAATGTGACTTGAAAGGTGATGAGGATGCAGATTGCAGTGAGTGATATGATAATCACTTTGGAAAGTGTGATAAAGATGATGATCGTTATCTTCATCATCACATTGTATTAGGAAGCGAGAAAGTGAGATGCAAAACAGTAGATGATTGTTTTTGTTTTTTCCTCTTCAGAATAACATGAAAACTCAATGAGGAAATAAAAAAGCATGAATAAAATGCAAATACTATGAGTCTTTTTTTCCAAGTCTATTTTCATGTTCCTCTTTTCTATTATTATTATATCTTCATCTATATCATTTAGATAAAACTACAGCCATATTAGTTTCATTAGCATGATAACTTTTTTCTTCTCGGGTCATTTGCAGGTCATCTATTGGTAAAACTAATCATAGTGTTAACCTTGTGTGTTTAGAATTACGACCATTGCTGCTAACAAGGCCTTCGACAAACCTCTAGAATCTATTTGGATTTATACACAAAATTCATCATGTTTTTCGTGGAATAACATTGAAAATAAAATCTTTTCCATGTTTATGTTTTTTGAATTCATTGGAACTGATTCGATGATTTTTATGATCAGACATTAGTCTCTAATCCATATTGAGTTCTAATTTCTTTGATTTTCTTTTGATCTTTTTTTCTCTCAGAACGGAAACAATTACTCAGTGGGGAAGATGAGGTTGACTCCCTGAGAATGAGTGTCAAGAAAAAGAGATAAAAACAACTGATGATAAATCGAAATAAAGAAGAGAGAAAAAATAGCGAAAAAAAGATTCGAATTTAGAATGAAAGAGGAAATAACTTCTAAATAAGGAGAGAAAAAAAAGTTCGAAGGAGAAAAAATTGTTCACCAGAATTATGACTCGAATTGAGTGACAGAAGTTTCTTGAAATGATAATAACAATTTCTCAGGAATTGAATGAAAGGCAACAAATTTCTCGATATTGAATCTTTTTCTTCCTTCAAATAAGTTCAAAATCGAAAGGAAAAACTTTTTTATTCTACTATTTTCTCTTTCTCTAAAAGAATCGGGAAAAAAAACTTCTCAAAAGTAACAATAATATCAAATGATGAAAAAGATACTGAGTCATGATGATGATAAAAGTGAGACTTATTTATATCATTAAATGTTCATTCAAAATGATGAGATGATAAAAAGATGAACAAGTTTCCATGTTATCATGAAACCCATGATTCAGTGTTTAGTTTTTTTCATCTTCACTGAACAAGAAAAAGACAAGAGATAAAAAGTTTTGATAACTTTTTTCCTCTTCTTCTTGTGACCATTTTGATCCTGATTGTGAATCTAAAACATTGATTGAACTCTAAAAGAATAATGATAAAAGCAAACATGAGATTCTCTGAGTAAATCTGATTACAATTCTTGAAATCAATCAGAACGAATAGTTTGTACTCTTGATAATCAATTTCGAGAAGAAGGTGGAAAAACTTTGATTCAATCAATCTTTAAAAGTATTCTAAGGTAACTAAACAACTGACCATTCGCAATTCTGAGTTTGTCAATGTCTTTGTTCAATATAATACAAAAGAAGGAGAAAAGGATTAAGGTTGAGAAAAGTGAAGTGATATGTGAATTATGTGATAATGTTAAATCTCCGGCATTCTCAGCTTTTATTTATACACCATGAGGATGAAAAGGAGGAAAAAGTAATGTGATCATTATCATCTTCAATTAAGATTAGTCTTCCTAGAAGATGATAAGCTTACACCAAGAAGGAGAAAGTGAGAGTTGAATCTTATTCTCATCTTTCTAGTTCATTTTCAAGCTACATTCATCTTCAACCCTCTCATCAACATCAACTTCCTCCATCACCTTTTACAGATCTCATTCTCATCCATCCTCATCCTTTTCTCTGTCTTCGAAACATATCCCAGATGAACGATAAAAATCAGGTTACATGATACAAGGAAAATTTCACCTTCCTACATACTACAAATAACATGAGATGAGATGAGAATGAAGAGAAAAAAAAAGTTTCCATCTAAGTAATTTAACCACCAACACCACAATCAACATCACCTGTTGATGGATTGTAATTAAATTCTGATCAATTTAAAAGTTCTTACAATTAGAACCAGTCAGAGAATTGTTCTTGCAAAGATTATTTAATGTGAACATGATCCATTCCATGAATTCATTAATTATTAGCAAGTTAAATTGAAACATTAATCTAATGAATTAATTAATTATGATGAGTAAACATGATTATCTTTTGGGTTAATTTTCTCGTTGGAAACCAAACAATTTATATTATTACATTTCTCATGGTCACTATTCTGATGAGATGATCATTTATAATTTATTTGAGCTTAATTCATGATAAAGCTGAGGAAAACGAAAGAGTTTGTCATCTACATGATAATCTATTAGTATTATCCATCACTTAGCAGAGATTTTTTTGTCCAAGGAAAAAAGTTGGGATTAGGATATGAAAATAAAGGATTAAAGGTGAAGATGATTAAATGTTAGATTATCCAGATAATTGGTAACTTTTTTTTTCCTTGTGATTCTGTTTACTATTATTCTGAGCTTAGTTTATAGTTTATTTGGGAACTAATCAGCTTAAATCGATGATGATGAACATCATCATGAATTATTATTCTTCTTACCTTTTCCCCAGAGTCTGATGGAAGGTAAAAGACCAGAATGGATAAACATGATATCGCGATGCAAGGGATTATCAGGTTAACTGTATAGAAAAGTGTTTTCCGTCGAACTGTCATGCTAAATAGAACATCGATAAAAGGTTCATCACAACATTGGTAATATTTATTCTCCTCGAGACCGGAAACTTCCATCACATCCCATTCCACATTAAGATAATATTCTGACAGATCGATTCCAATAGATGAATTCGATCCATTAATTGAATCAATTAGTCGTAAATCAAGCTGTTAATTAGAATAAAAATAAGAAAAGAAGAGAAAAGAACAGATTAGATTAGATTATGTTTCATGGTCATTTTCCATATGTGATGTTGTTTTATTCTTTGGACATTCGAAACTTTGAATGTCTTTATCGTTCTTTTCTTCAATAGTAATCGGAAGACGATAAACATTATGAGAACTTTTTTTCCTTTCTAATCGATTTCTCTTTTGGAATTTTTTTTCTTTTCTCTCTCTGGCTTTCTCTCTATCTCTGTTTTAGTTTCCTCTTGACCTCTCGGAGATTAAATATTCCTTTTCCTTTTAGCTAATGATGTTCTTCCGTTTTACAATTTCGATATTGAATAGAAAACCGATTTATTAGAACAAATGGTTCAAAGATAATTGACCAATAAGAGTTATTATATGTTCGAATGGACGAATTGAAATGGAAATTTCAATCATGAACATTTCGTAATCTATTGATGATCCCTCGATAGCTCTGAAAGGAGAGAGAATGGAGACTCACCGTATAGCCATTATATGTCCATGAACCAAAATACCATTTACAGTTTTGTGTATCAAAAGGAAAATATCTTATATCAATTCCACAGGAAGACTTAAAAATTGCCGGTGGTGTCCAAGAGACGGTTCCGTTGTAACGGATCATCGCTTTGGTCATTATTGTAACAGCGTAACCACCATCAGCACTGGTCAGTGAAAAAAAGAGCATAGAAAAATGAACAAAGATAAATGGATAAAAAAATGGAAATGTAAATATAAAATGAATAAAGTTCTGGATGATTCATGATGAATATCTTTCTTTTTTTTATCAACATCGATAAAAAAGTTGTTCACAGAATAAAAATATTACCATGAAGATGAAACATTTATCTTCTTATGAGTTATGCTATAAATCCGTCAACTATTATCTCTTGGTGTAGGTCTGATAACTATTAATATTGTCATGATAAATGATTCATGGGGATAGATTATTTCAGAACTCAAATGATTCACATTTTATTATTATTACATTTCTCTCTCTCTCTTTCTTTCTCTTTTTCTCTTTCTTTCTATCATGATGTTCATGGTGATGACGATACATCTCAATCATTCAAAGGAAATTGAAATGAAATCTGTTGTGGTGATGGTAAAAGCAGAAAGTCACCAATGTTTCATCAATCAACAAATACCAAAAGAAAAGTATTCAATTAATAGATTCACAAGAATCACCATGAAAACATATTACTAATGAGTGAAAATAGACCCAAGGTTCATCATTAGCTATTAATATACCATAGAATAAATTGCCTCAAGCTATTTATCAATTGTATTTGTAAATAAAAACCATGTAATTTCCTTCGGATCAATAGAATGTTAAGATTGAAGCTCAAGAATTTCATGAATGAGAGATATTATCATAATATTAATATGATATAATCTAAAGAGCTTCAATCCAATCTTGTCTTTTGTAATTATCCAGAAGACTGAGATTATTATGTTTTTCCAAGGAAACTTTTTCTTCACAGGAAATAATCATGATGGTGATGAATATTAACATTAAGATTGGTACTCACTTATTGTACAAAACAAGATCAGGAAGCCATATCTGCTCAGCTGGAACATAGAGCTCAGTAACTCCTCCATACTCGACTGGATCCCATTGTAACTTTGGGTCAAACCATTGCTATTAACGTGATTATTTATCACATGAAACAATGACCATAAAAAGAAGGTAAGAAAACGGATGATAATAATGATGATGATCCACCCTAATAACATTAGACACCAAGATAATTTGTGATTAATTGATAACAATTATCATCATGATGATAATTGTTACCAGTATCACATTGTAACCATTAAATTATCAGCTCAATAAAATAATCATTTGTGTTTGTTTTTTTCAGAATAACTCATTCTGGTGTTAATCTTCAATATTTATCTCTTGACCAGAACAATTGTCCTTGGTAATGGATTAACTTTAATCTTTGATAGTTATTATTATATTAAATCTACTTAATTTTACCTTAACATTTACTCATTAATCAGATTGATTGTTTCATTTTCATCGTTTTAATGTATTGATATTTATTTTCACGATAATATATTGATTGGAAATCACTTGATAGACAAAACTTGAATCATGATTAATGATTATATTCTGATTGAATCTTTTAACATTGCTACAAGATTAAGGTGATAAATACAAATAAAATTGTTTAACTCTCGGTAAGATTAACAGATTATGGTTTTGGTACATTAATCCTTTTATCTGATTGGTTATTTTACTTGTTTAATCATTTGATAAACTACCAAATGATTATCATGATTAACCTAAATGATAGCAAATTCTGGTTCTAATTCAAGTTTTTTTTCTTGCTAAAAACCAAACTTTTGATTCTGTTGTACATTAAATTATTTCAATCTAATCTCAAGTGTGATCAAGTTTACCAATCGCAATTGTTTGATACAATTTAATTAAGTGATTGATGTACAAGAAAACTAACTAAAATCAACACTTGAGAGATACTTGAATGTTAATCTCTTTGGTAGATTAAGTTTAAATTATGCTGAATTTAAACAAATAAACAAAAAACTAGTTGATTGTTAACTCTTGAAATTATCCAAGTTTTAAAATCCTATGAGAAGTGATAAAATTCAATAGCTTTGTGAGGTTGATGATTGAGGTGGAATAGAGCTTATATCATGTAATATAATGATAGGTGTATGTTTACCTGAAGAACCCACATGTTTGCAGTTAGAATTTGTTGCTTCAGATTCTGAATGGTGAATATCCAGTTTTCCACCATGTAATCATTACCATTGGAATGGATTGGGAAAAAGTGAAAGATGAAGAGAAAAAGAAAATTGGAAAATCAGATTTTCTAGAAAAGATGATTACATCCATCAATAGAGTAAATAACATGTAAGGTATCATGGTGATGAAGATGATAACATGATATAGATTATTGACATTCTCCACCCTGACACACCCTCTTCTTTTATCTTCCTCTCTCTCTCATTGATAGTCTTCTACTAATTGTAACATTTTTTGATAGTAACTGAAAATGTCAATAGCCAAGAGAATCAACTGATTGACCATTGATTATGAACAATAATCATGATAATATTCAATAGTATCTACGATTCACCATCATGAAAATATCTCTTTTTCTCATGGATATCATAAGAATTGACTTTTTTCTTCTTGTTTTTTCTTCTTCTTCATCTTCTCCATCCTCATCACTCGTTTATCATCTATCTCGATCATTTTTCTTCTTCATCTTCATGGCAAATTGTCTCTACTACTCTTGTTGAATAATACATATAATCTTCAGAGTTTTTCTCCTCTTTCATGATGATTATTATTATTCTCATGATTATTTCCTTTTCTATCTCTCTCTTCAGATTTCCTCACATGTTTCTTCAGAAATCTCACCAATTAGACTCTACTCAAAACTCATGGTGAAAAAAACTCGAGTATTTGAATCCTGATGTAAATTAATTTACTGTTTTTCTTCAATACAAGATTATTATCAAATTTAATTATATATCAACAACTTAATACTTTGTAAATGACTTAGCTTGCTAATAGTAAATCATTAAATTAAATTTTTTCTCAATTTTAACAGAATAACTTAAATATTTTTCTGCTCAATAAAACTAATTTGTATCATGAGAATTGACGATTCCAGAAGGTTTAAGTTTTATTCATGACGATGTGATAATTGAGCCAATCTTTTCCTCATTAATCATATTCATAAATAAATTTTCATCTCAGTTGACATTGATGAATTAACTTCTATGACTCTATCAATGTCCAGCTAATCTTGACCAGAATTAACTCAACTAAATTATTATGATATTTATCCTATTGAACGTGAGGTTATCGTTTATTTGCAAATATAAAATAACAATTTTCCCATTTGAACTTTACATCAATATTTCTTATGAGATCTCATGATGACTGAACATTGAATTATATTTGATATTAATATTAATCATGATGAAGGAATGAGATTTAGGATTTAAGGATTTAAAGATTGAAAAAGATTCATGTAAACAAGAAGGTAATAATTTCATTGAAATTGAACTTTACTAGAGAAAATTGATCATGAAAGAATGACATTTCCATAAAGAGGAAAATAGTGATTTTCAGGATTCGAATTTTGTTTACAACGTTCTTGACTTATTTTCCATTCTGACATTTTACTTACCAAGTCAATTAATTGAGTTAATTTAAGACCAAGACGGACTATAACTGTACCGTTAGGTTCGGTTATCGGTGTGATTATCCGATTGTAAACACTCATCAGATCGTCGTACAATCTTTTGGTATCAGGGTTACATTTCGCTCCAGGGATGGACAAAGTTGATATAATGTAATAGGAAAATAATGTCAACACCCATTGAATGGGTTTTGCTTTCGGTGTTTGCATTGATGATGGTGATGATTACTTGAGATTTGAAAACATTATCACCATCGAGATGTAATTAAAGTTGGCTCAGATAACTTGATAAAATAATGAGATTACTGTTTCGGTTGACTTTAAGCATTTCAACTATTTTTAATTGTTGTGTTTATCAAAACAACAATTTACTGGCACAAAAAGTAAAAAGTAAGTATTGAAAGTTTTAAACAGTTATTATTAATAATTTGATTTGAATTTGATGGATCGAAATCAATAGATGGCGACAAACATGATAACTTGGAATGGTCTCAGGATGAATCGATGATGAAGATGAAGATTAAATAGATGATAGGGGGATGCTGGTGGTGAATGAAAAGAAAGAAAGAAGGTAAAGAAAGAGAATTGATGCTGGTGAAGAGAGAGAAAAGGAAAGATGACGAGGGTGGAAGAAGGTGGTAGAGAATTGAGAAGATGTTGAGCAGAAGATGAGGATGGAGGAGGGAGGAAGAAGGAAGATGAAATCGATCGGCTTTTTATTCAGGCATTTACGAAGCTCTATAAAGACACATAGACACTTTTGGTGGGTTCAATACAAACTCTCACACAGGGAAGAAAGTTTTTACTCCTCGGTGGTAAGAATAGTTGAGAATAGAATCCTGCAAATCAGCTTAGTTTGTGCCTTACAACTTTATTCCAATGTAAACCAATATATCCACGCATGTAATATCTTTCTCTCTCTCTCTTTCACTTTTTTCTTCCTTTTTCTCTTTCTTTTATTACCTAAGCTCACTTATCACGCCTCCTTTCACTTTCTTTCCCTTCGATTCTCCTGCAACTTTATTCTCCTTTTGCTTCTGTGTTTCTTTCTCATCTGCATCCTCATCATCTACAAATCGTAGAATCTACACTTTTCATCAATACTCTTTCTCTCTTTTCTCTCTCGAATCCACCCTCCTTGTAATTCTCTCTCTCTCTCTTTCCTTCCCTCTCCCACCCACATCGAAATCACTTGGGGGAGTTTTTCGTTATCGTTTTTTCTCTCATTTTTGTGACAAAAAGTTCGTTTGTTTCCTCGTTTCTAGTCCAGTGCTGCTCATTGTGTCCAAGTTAGTGAATTGTTTAACTTCGGAGTCAGATTAATCTATCGCTGTTAATTAGTATGGTTGACCGAATGTATCTTTTATTGGTCAACTTATTGATTGTAATGATTAATCACTGATTCAGTACTTATTAAAAGCCTACCATGATTGCGGTATGTGAATAAAATGGATGAAATATAAAATTCAATCAATTACCAGTTTGTGGTTGAACTGAATCGGCACCATCATGATTATATTGTCTTCATGCCAATGGCTCGTCCTAATGATGATTCATCTTTACCAATCTCTTTGGTGGTGCCAGTTATCGTTTAAGGTAATCAATGCCAATCCAGACGAGCAACGACTTTTCGAAAAACTAATGACAAATTACAATGCACTTTATCGTCCAGTTGGTAATTTCTCTGATAAACTGCTCATCAAAATGGGTTTGGTACTTTCTCAAATAATTGACATCGTAAGTTTGAAGCTTAATTACCTCTTTTTTCGTAGAGAGGTAAAGTCTAACACATCGAAAGTTTAAGAAACACTTCGCTTTTTTTCTTCTTTCTCTGAATTTTCATGATAAATGAAAGAATCTTAAAAACCAGATAATGTCAAGTAATGTTTGGGTGCACCAGGAATGGTATGATATGCATCTAACTTGGGACCCTGAGAGGTACAGAGGAGTCAGGAAGCTTCATCTACCCGCTGAAAAAATTTGGCTTCCTGATATGGTTTTGTATAATAAGTAAGTATTCAAATGAGATCTAATATTATCTTTTCAAACTGATCGACTTGTCCTAATTATTCATTATGTATCTGTCTTACGTGAAAAGTCAATGAGATTAATGTTTTCTTGACGCAGAAAAATAATTGATTATACATTGTAAATCACAGTTAATTCTTATGATATGGAGAAAAAGATACCTCGAGATAATATAAAAATGACAAAATTGCAAAGAAAATGTTAGAAACCATAATAAACATGCTAAGTACGAATATAATAAAATTAGAAACGAATTATCAGAATGCTAGGAATTATTTTAATGTAAGTTATTACCTAAAATTTTAGGTAAGATAAGTTATACTTTTTAAACGCAACACCCTTTACATACATCTTTAAGCCGTTTCAGTGTCTCTTTAAATTGTTCATATTGAACTTGAACGACTGTATCATCATTTGATGCGTTGCCAGTTTCTTGTGACCAATTTCTTTTAGACGATGAAAGGATATTAAGGTAGAGAAGTATAAGAAGTATACTTCATAGATGTAGCATCCTTTACATAGATTAGATATCCACCAGGACCAATCACAGTTCCTGGTGTTGAACCACTACCTACATATATTTGGATAGGCCTTTCACCAGGACCTGTGAATTCCTTACCAGGTGCAACTGTCGACGTTGTACCAGTAGCTGAAGGGGCACGTGCTAAAGATGTTCCAATGGAAGATACCAGAACAGTTGATAGGAAAGTTTGGAAAACTGTAAATTCATAATTATGATTAGTTGATGATGAGCAAAGATGATAACTTGATTCGAATAGAAAAATTATTAATATTAATAATGAAGAGAAATTTTGACTGTTGCTGTTGATCAAGAAGATAAAATTGAAATTTGAAATGGTGATGTTGCTTTTAGAACTAACTGTTGAAAATGATGACGGATTATAAAAAGCTCATCCTTTTTATGTCATTCAGCGAAAACTATCCACGTGTACTCTGAACAACAAGGAAATTGTATTTTACCTTTAAAAATAAGCCACAATTCAAACAAAAAGTAACCTCTTAATTGTTTGTTAACTTATTCATCAATTAGAATAGTTGTATTTTAATTAGATTTCATCTGTACCAATAGACTTTTTCTACTGTTGATAACCATTTTTTCCTCACAATAGAAACTCGAGGTTAACCAGTTTAAGTTAATTTTTTCAAAGGTTATTTTTCCGAACTTTTTCCAGCCAAACAACGGAATCAGTGTAATTTTGGTTACTGTTTTAATAATTCAGAATTTAAACAGCTCAACGATCACGTAGTATTTTTTATCAGAGTAAAAACTTTATTCTAGAAAGAAAGAGAGAGAGAGAGAGACTCATCAAACTTTTTTACCTAAAATTTGTTCACTTTGTCATCTAATCATTTTAATTATCATTTAAAGTGCGGATGGTGATTACGTAATAACTAAATTAACCAAGGCGATTGTAACAAGTGATGGTAAAGTGAGTTGGAAGCCTCCAGCAATATTTAAAAGTTCGTGTACCATTGATGTTGAATATTTCCCCTTCGACCAGCAAACATGCCAAATGAAATTCGGTATATGGTCATACGATGGTTTATTGGTAAGAGCTTAACTTTAATTATATTCTAGTTAACTTACACAAACATCTATCATTAGAATGTTTAGTAATTAATTCATAATCGATATTAAATCTATTTACAAGATTGATTTAAAACATATCAATCAACAAGATGATTCGCCAGAAATTCCCATTGGAATGGACTTGAGCAGATTCTATCTTTCCGTTGAATGGGACATTATGGATGTTCCAGCTGCTCGACATGAGATCTACTATTCGTGCTGTTCAAATCCCTACATCGACATAAGATTCAATATAACCCTTCGTAGGAAAACTTTATTTTATACCGTTAATCTTATAATCCCTTGTGTCGCCATTTCATGTCTTTGTATATTTGTCTTTTACCTTCCCTCGGATTCTGGAGAAAAGGTAAGAAAAGAAAAAGTTATTTTCCATTCTTTTTCATTAGAATATGAATATGAATTAATTTCTTTTTTATTTCTCGTTGGCTTTTCTTCGTACTCTATTGCCTTTTTTCTTTTCTCCCTCTCAATCATCAACTTCCGCTTAGATCTCATTGAGTATTTCGATTATGCTTTCGTTGGTTGTGTTTTTCCTCCTTCTCTCTGAGATTCTACCACCTACTTCCCTTGGAATCCCACTTCTTGGTCGTTACCTTTTATTTACCCTTATCTTGGTAACTCTTTCAGTTTGTTTGACTATCATGGTACTTAATATAAACTTCCGGTCACCATCGACCCACCGGATGGCTCCTTGGGTAAAAAAAGTCTTCCTTAATATTTTACCTCGAATGCTCAAGATGAAAAGGCCAAACAAAAAGGATAAAGAAAATTTCTCTTTACATGGTAATCATTCTAATGCTATTCATTATCATGATATTAATCAAATTTACATGATGAATTACTCAATAAATTCTAGTATATTGAATCATGGTGATTAATTTTGATCATTAATCATCTCATTTGCTTTCACAGGTCATCATCAAACAGCCAATTTATATTCAACTAACAGCAATCTCAACAGAACCACTGATGATAATGTTGATTTTTTCCCTACCCCTGGTGATCTTGATACAATTGAATCAAGAATAATCAACAAAGAACCAATCAATTTATATTATAATCATGATCATACACCTTTACAACCTTCACTGCCCTTATCTAATCCCTCTCATCATCGACCTGATTTACATGCAAATTTTGTGCTTCCCCTTTCCTCAATTGACCCAACCATTGACCCAACCTTACCTGCTTACAATGAGGCAATAAATGGTGATAATAAAACTGTAAATGAGACTTTTGACACTTCACTTGATCTACTCAATGATGAGAGCTGTAATTCCGACGAGATGATGACTATGATGATGATGCAACCAATAAATCATCAATCCAAAGCTAATTCATCATTTCATCAAGCATTAATTAGCATTCAATTTGTTGCTCAACACATGGATAATCTTGATAACTATCACGAGGTAATATTAGAATTGAAAAATAATTCATTTTCTCGAATCACATTTGTTTTTCTTGTTTCTTTTTCTCTTTTTTGTCCTGTCTCGATTTTTCTGTCCATTCTTTAGGTTGAAGAAGACTGGAAGTTCGTTGCCATGGTTCTTGATCGGCTGTTACTTTGGATCTTTGCGATCTCTTGTATCGCTGGTACGGTTGGAATAATTGCTCAGGCTCCGAGTCTTTATGACACTCGACAACCAATCGATGTCTTGTACAGTAGAATCGCTCAACGAATGCGCTATTAATGGAACATTATTTTCCTTTTTATTGTTAAGATTGTTAATTTACTTTAATCTAAATTTGAAAATTAAAACTTCACAAAAAACTAAACTGACCAAGTACTCGTGTGACATTTAATTAGATCAACTAGTTTAAATGTTGTTTGAACATATTCGTTCGTAAAAACATATGAAAATCATAATCATATTATATCTTTATCAATTTATTCGTTAATTAACAAATAATAGAAGGTCAAGTTGTCAGCGATAATTAATTTTCGTTGTAATATTTATTCACAATTTTCTCGATATCTTCATCTTTTTATCTCAATTTCTGTTGGAGATCGATCGTTTGAAAGTCGATCAATTTTTCACAATCAATTCCAGCTAATATTCTATTAAAAAAATTTGATTATTCTTGGTGGATAATAATGGTTATTACAGAAAAAGTCATTTTGTGGGTTATGTTGAATCTTTTACTGTACAAAATCTTGATTTAATAACTTTGTTTCATTTGATAATAATAATAATAAGAAAGCGTCTAGATTTAATGGTTATTATATTGGCATCGAAAAGCCATAAAGATAAATAGCAAGTCGACTCGGAATATCGATTCGAGTGATGAACTTAAAACCTTCAGAACATTTTGATCGATTGTATTAAAACTTGTTTTCTACTCGAAGTAGTTAGTTAACTAATTTTCTGGTGTTTTAATCGTTAAGTAAGTATTTCTCATTGTGATACGTAATGAATTATTCTCAAGATATTTTGAAAGTTCTATCATCTTTCCCACCCGAGCTTCAGGATCTAATCTTTGAAAACATGTTAGGAAATGTTCCTAAGCGGTTCATCAATATAGATGTTGAGGAGACTAATATTTCGCTCGTCAAATCAGGTGCAGTTGATATGATTTTTCCGGATGAATATTTATCTTTTTTAGCCGGTACAGAAGTCAACGTATCCGTCGGGCCAGTAATTGGAAGCAGCAGTTGTGTCTTCTTGAACATATACCCAAACTCGTCAACTGGTGTAATTAACAAAGGAATATTATCGTCACTTGAGATAGTTGATTATTCCGTTTGCATCTTCACTGTTCTGTTAACAGTTTTTGCTTTGATGATAAATTTTACTCGATCTAGTACCAGAAGTGCTGGTTCAACCTTTTATCGAGCTTCGATCATAGAGCTTTTGCTAGCAAATGTAAAAGGTAAATTTGGGTTATGTATATTGCTAACCTGTTCTTTCTCAGTTCATTACATATTACATTTATTTTCCGCATCGTTCACAACACAATACTCGATAGCTTCACGTCCAGCACCATTGAATACATGGTCTGATCTAACTTCACGGAAAGAGATCAATTGTACCGCTCATAAAGAGAGCTGTTATCGCTTTGCGAATGAAACTGTGGGTTTAGAAAATCCACTTAGTCCAATAAGCCTTCAGGAATTCGATAAGTATGTCTATGAAACGATAAATAAGTCAATCATTTCATCCTTTGGAAAAAAAAATAATGTTAAGCATTTGCTAAAATTTTATTGTAAACAGCATTATATTATAAATTATAATCTCCCTAAAAACGTAAAAAGTGATTTTCTTTATCATGTTGGTTCAGGTCACTATTTTGAAAGATTAGGTTCATTCTTCTACCATGCAAATATCGATAATAAAAAGAAACGTTGGATAAGCAGAGCTTCTTATTCTTGTTTTGAACAAGCTCTTTGTACCGTTGGAGTTAGTAAAATGTACAAAACTTACGATGGTCCTATTGAGAACATTTTGTTTCCAACATGTTGGCGTTATGAGGAATTAAGTGCTCAGCCCGAAGGGTCGTACAGTCCAATTACTTATTCTAATTTTACTGATCTGATTAATCTTTACCTATCACTTTGTATTCTTGCAATTATCTTATTTCTATTTGAAGTTTTCCTCGTTAAATGTGAATCACACACTTAATATTAATAAAATTCCGTAATTATCAATCAGTATCTGCAAATCATTGAGTTTTTCCATTTAGTAATTACATTATTCCTGACATGGACGGGCAACTTAAGTTCGAGATACTTATAAACTTGTAAGACAGAAATAAAGATAAGAGCAAAAGTATTGGGAAAAATAATCTTAATTAATCTATGAAATATCATCAAATTTCGCCTCATCTCATCTTGAGTGATGAGGTGATGGAGGGTTTCTCACTTCAACTCCCTGAGATTTTTGTATATAAACCAAGTAAAATCATAAATAAAATGAATTTTTAGTTAACTATTAATAAAATTAACTATGACTTCACACTAATTAACAATTTTTCTCCCCTGAGATCGAATACAATTTTGAGATAAGATTTAAAATATAATTTAGTCTCACTAGACAAAAAGTCCTCTCAAAACAAACCCCATTATAGCTATTTATAAAAATTTTACAAATATTATTAATTGTGTGGTTACTTTGATAGTCCAAAGTCTAAAAATGGCTAACTCATAAGTTATGACACGAAAAGAAAAAAAATAAATAAAATTAGAATTTCAACCTATTCAAAGAAATAGAGAAAATAAAATTGCATCAGATCACCAACATCCGATCTTACCAAGAAAACAAAAATGATTCAAGCTATTGCAACGCAGTAATAGCACAGTTTTAAGAGTAACAAAACAACTATAGTAAATGTTGAATTATCAAAATTTTTGTCAACTTGGCCCGTAGGACAAGATGAATAATAACACAAAATTCAATTTTAAATTCACAGGTAAAGTCTATTTGAATTAAAATTATCAGGAACGATAAAAATCGTGTCTAAATCCAAAATTTTACGATCGAGTGTGGCTCCATCTTCTTAATCGGAATCCTCATTGTCTTAATTAGAATGATTATTTTTTCTTAATTAAACCTCACGGTCCTTGATCCTCATTCTCTTTATGTATCTCTTCTGACGAGTGATAGACTTGAATTTTTATTTCAACAGCGCGAAAACCAAGGAAAATTTTGTTTGGCGTCATTCTTTTATTTTTTCGAAGTCAAAGTTAGTTGAAATTGAAGCACTTTATCCTGATACTGGTTTTCTTAATTCACTGACACCTGAAGACAATATATGTATGTCATTCTATAACTCAGTGAGTTAAACTCACTAAATAATCACTCTCACCTCAACTATTTATTATACAGTCGTGAAAAATGAGTTTCGAATGGTTTTTAATCATTCGCGCAACTTAGCTACTAAAACTACTGTATACTTTTCTCTTGTTGATAATTTTGTCCTTTTCATCGCTCAACCTCCGAGATTCATCAGGAGTGGGAAATCATAAGGAGTAAAAGAACTTACGGCTGATGTAGCTCCGATTAAGGTGATGAGAACCATGATGATTTGGAAGATGTTGAAATTCATGATGAGAACAATGAAAATGTTTCTTGAACACGAAAGATAATGAAACTTTTTAAGCTTGTTGATGACTTGATGACTTGACCAATTGATTGGAAATGATAAAAACTCAATGACAAATTTTTCTTTTTAAACCAATTCTGAAAAACTATTAATTAAATGATTAATTATCTATTCAAATGATTAACACTAACTGCTAAGCAACAACTAAATTGGTTTCACGTGTGTAAATAGTCACAATTAAATGACTAAATTAACCTTCATTTATCATCTGATGATAATTAGTACCAGAATATTAAGATTCTCATCTGTTTCAATATACCAAAACAAACTTTAAACTAAATGATCTAATTAAGGAGCAAAATAACACAGCATTTAAAGGTTAATTCACTCATATGCTTGTGACTCATTTTCACAGAAGAACTCAATTCAATTATTTGTTAGTTTGTATTATTAATAGGTGATTTATAAAAAAAGAGTTTTTAACTTATTATTGTCATTTTTATTCAATCGATCAAATCATAAACAAGTTCAAAGCTTTGTCGAATTCAACCGACATTTCAATTCACCTCACCATCCTATCATCATCATGTATTTTAATATTTGCCAAGTCTTCATGGTCTTCGTGTCATTAGTTAGTTCCAATGTCGTAGCAAGTCATTGTCATATTCTTCCACTTACTACTACAGCCGTTCCAATGTTTCCAGGAACTTCTTTATCACCACCATAGATCTGTAAACGCCGACGGAGTTTTGTTTCATGACTAAATTCAATAAAACAGCTCAATCAACTTAAAATTTTTCTCTTACATTATTTATCATAAATTCGGTGCCGTTCTCAATATTCAGTTCTTTGGGGAAGATTTTCATTCCAGGTGAGCTTTTACGATCGGTGTCATCGTTGATAAGCATTTCTTTATCACGAACGTGCGTTAAATTTTAATTCATTCAATTGATGAGTGAATGATGGTCATTATATTGACTCTATCATATTCCAGTGTTTTTTATTCGCTATTGAATTCAGAATTTTACTGAAACTTCCATTAATCCTTGAGTCTTTGATTCTTGATGCGCATGGGCTATTTACTTCACCTTGAGCATTTTGTTGTTGTATCAAACAATTAAATTTTTTTTTGATTGCTACTTTTTTAGCACAATAATCGTAAATCAGAAAAATCAACAGTTGAAATCAATTCTATTAAATGTTAATCTTTAACCAAATGATTAAATTAACTCGACAATTTATAATAGTAGAAAAGTGAACTACTCTAGTAGATTACTTGTAAATCAATTCTACAGGTTGATTGTAAGAGTTTTAATATATAAAAACATCAAAAACAACAATCAATTAATCGAGACACTCAAATACAAAAGCATCAAGATCAATAGGATGAAACAATAACATGACGATTAAGATGAAAAAACTCATTGTCTTATTTTTGAAGACACAATTTAAGTTCCTTGTTGATTGATTATCTTTGTTGTTGTTTTTTTCCTATTGTTTTTATACAAAGCTAGCAAATGAATGGATGACAATATCCACTAGTGTCCATCTTTTTTGTAACCTCTTCTTAATATCGAATTGTTATCTGACCATCATCACCACTTTTTACCTTAAATTGTCACCAAAGAGCAAAGTTTATTCAGTTAGCCCTGCGATTGTAATGATAACCTGTCAATAAACTGGTCAGTCTTAACTGACAATAAGACCAATTTTTATTAACTTACACGCTGGCTTAGTGTTATTTGAACATAATCATAGTTTAGAATTTCGTGCTGATGTGCTTAAACATTGACGATGTCAGTGATAGTACTCCTTTTCGAATACCCAACGGGTTGTTTAGTATGATAGTCAGCACCACAAGCTTGTCTATAAGGTTTAGGAACAGCAGGACTTGAACCTAGGACTGAAGCAGCTCCAATTAAAGCTACGGGAACCATGATAATTTGGAAGATATTGTAATTCATAATGAGATACACGATGTTTGACTTAGATCCGGAAACTATAAAATTTGCAATGCAAGTTAATAAAAAATTAAATGCTAAATGAAAAAGACAATTTCAAACGCTTAAAATAATTTATTAACTGTTTGTTTGAATACCGAGATTACAAAGAGATTAATAAAAAAAATTAGAACAATTTATATTACCATCCGCGTTAAGGTAGTCGAAATACAACCAACGACTTTGAGTTTGTAACCTTTTTTAGATCATTCACGTAGTTGATGATAATCAGGTAAAGATAACAATTGATAGCTGATCAGATGACCATTTTAATAGATTAAATAGTTAATATGAAAGGGCATTTCTTATAATCATTTCTCTCGATTAAAATTATATCTCATTGATTATCTTTACCTGCTTGAATGATTTAAAAAAGGTTGCAAACTCAAAGTCGTTGGTTGTATAGTGTTGGTTATCAATTTTGGACTGATGCGTTTAACCTTTCAAGGTGTTATCGATAATACCCCGTTTAGAGTACCCAACGGATTGCTTAGCATGATAATCACCGCTACGAACTTGTCTTGAAGTAGCACCAGTAGAAGAACTAGGACCTACGGATGAATTAGCTCCGATTAAGGTGATGAGAACCATGATGATTTGGAAGATGTTGAAATTCATGATGAGAACGATGAAAATGTTTCTTGAACACGAAAGATAATGAAACTTTTTAAGCTTGTTGATGACTTGATGACTTGACCAATTGATTGGAAATGATAAAAACTCAATGAAAACGGTTTCTTTTTATACCAATTCTGAAAAACGATCTATTCAAATGATTAACACTAATTGCTAAGCAACAAGTACAAGGTACTCATACATTGTTTTCGCGTGTGTAAATAATTTATAATTATACGACTTAATTAACCTTTAAATGTTTGTCACTTATTGATAATTTGCATCAAAATATCAACATTCTTTTAGTTCAATAAGTACTAGACAAATTTTAAATTCAAATGATCCAATTAAAGGTCGTTTTATGAGTTAGTATGTTGGCACAGATGAGCTAAGGTGAGCTGCAGGGTGGTTCGTTTAATTTTAGACTAAAAAGAGAAGTGACAATTAGAGTAACTTACCTTAGATTGAATGTAATAAATTAAGATAAGAATTGATTATTGTTGATAAAACGGCCAAAAAATGATAAAATTGTTGTGATTGTTAAGTTTTTTATGATTGCAAATCAAATTTTACATAATTTCTAGTGAGATACTCTAATTATCACTTTTCTTTTAATTGAAATTAAATGAAACACCCTTTAGATTCTATTTTGTTTCAAATGTTGTCGATTAAATCAATCGACTAATGTTGATTTACAATTTAAGCACCTGTGAGAATTAGTCACAATTAGATCCATACAATGTAACAAAGTCAACCGAAACAGTAATCTCATTATTTTATCAAGTTATCTGAGCCAACTTTAATTACATCTCGATGGTGATAATGTTTTCAAATCTCAAGTAATCATCATCAACATCAATGCAAACACCGAAAGCAAAACCCATTCAATGGGTGTTGACATTATTTTCCTATTACATTATATCAACTTTGTCCATCCCTGGAGCAAAATGTAACCCTGATACCAAAAGATTGTACGACGATCTGATGAGTGTTTACAATCGGATAATCACACCGATAACCGAGCCTAACGGTACAGTTATAGTCCGTCTTGGTCTTAAATTAACTCAATTAATTGACTTGGTAAGTAAAATGTCAGAATGGAAAAGAAGTCAAGAACGTTGTAAACAAAATTCGAATCCTGAAAATCACTTTTTCCTCTCTATGGAAATGTCATTCTCTCATGATCATTTTTCTCTAGTAAAGTCCCATTTTCAATTATGCACTCGATAAGATGAAATTTTCTGACTCATATATACTTTGTTCTGATTCGAAATTGAATCATCAAGTTATGAGAAGCCAAAATCATTAAAGTAAGAAAATTTTATCTGACATAAAGGTTGGTTGAAAGTCTAGCAAGGTTTTCAGTTTAATCATCATCATAAATATGAATAAGATAAGGTGGATTCTTCAGTTAAGATTATGCTCATGCTAAAAGGAGTCTATGAAAGGTTAAGGTATCAAAGCTCAATTCAGCTTAAAATCCTACAAAACGGAAAATAAGTCCAAACGAAATCTGAGCACCCATTCATGAGAAATTCAGATTCAAAATTTATATTGCACGCAGACGCAGTTAGGCTTTTTAAGAGCGCGAAATTCAAAAAGAAAGAAAGAGAAAGAGAGAATGAAAGAGCAAGAGACGAGAGAGAGAAAGAAGGAGAAAGAGACGAGTAAGAAGGAGAAAGAAAGAGAAATAGAATCCACGATTAACAAATCAATTAAAAGAATGATTCTCATTTCAGTATCCTAAATCCACGGGTCTCTCAAACAAACTTAACAAAGGACATGATCATCTTCCATAGGGATTTTGCCCCCTCATAAATAGTTCTGGAAATGAGTTTTTTAGATACCTCACAATTCAAATTCACTACAAATTATTGACCTTTTTTTCAAATTAAGATCTCTCTAGGATTTATACTTTTCGCGTAAAACGGGTTTATAGACGGAACTTTGAATCGATTTTGTGGCCAAACTATCAAACATAGAATAAATTTCTTAACACCGTTCAATAGGCAATTTTATGACCTGCATTAATATTCACTTTTCAAATCTGAAATCTTTTGGTCGTAGCCGCTGGAACGGAAATAGACCTTAAAAAGTGACCCTTTCATTTATTACTGAAAACGGAAAACTGAAACTCAACACAGTCGATAGACATTTAAATGCTGTACTAAAAATACTACTGATTTTATTTCGATCTTTTATCATTAGGCTGCAAAAGGCCTTTTCCCGCTCCGTCAATAGTTTTATTGGAATATCTCGAAGATGCAGTTCGATAGGTAAACTTTTTACTTCGATAACTGTAGAGCATTTAAATGTCTATCGACTGTGTTGAGTTTCAGTTTTCCGTTTTCAGTAATAAATGAAAAGGTCACTTTTTAAGGTCTATTTCCGTTCCAGCGGCTACGACCAAAAGATTTCAGATTTGAAAAGTAAATATTAATGCAGGTCATAAAATTGCCTATTGAACGGTGTTAAGAAATTTATTCTATGTTTGATAGTTTGGCCACAAAATCGATTCAAAGTTCCGTCTATAAACCCGTTTTACGCGAAAAGTATAAGTCCAAGCGAGACAAAAATTGAACTAAATTCTATCATGTTTTCTATTCTATTCATGTACAAATTTAATCGAAAATCTGCGTTGGGGGTAGAAATGGATCAAGTCCTTTCGTAAGAAAGTTTGTTCCCGCTTGTCTATTAATAAATAGAGAATAAAATTTCCATCTGGATAACGTAAACATCGATTTAATCGATTAGCTTGAAGAGATTGATTATCTAGAGGACGCTGCTTAGAACTGAAAAGGAAAATAGTTTACAGAGCATGGTTAAGACTTCCATGTAATTCATGTTATTTTGGTAAAAAATCATCAAAGAAAAAGTCGAGTGTATTTTTTGTTCTGAAAAGATTTTTGCTACTTTTTCGAGTTTGTTTACCATTTTTCATCTATCGAAGTGTCCACATCGGACTGACAGTTTGGACTAAAATCCACCGTTTCGTAACCTGCGTATTAACAAATAGCTACTTGGAATCCGAATCTTTCTCTATGAACCTTTTCTCATCTATTTTCACCAAGTTTGCTGCTCAAAATATTTACTTTGCTTAGAACATTTTATCATGTTTTTTGCTGCCAATCGATTAGATCAGTTGATGATTCATCTCAGTTCTAAATTGTGATTCAGTTAAAGAATCAAAGTCAAAGCCTAAATTTGTGTCGCCATCTAGAACTGTATCGAAATGCTCCGTTAAATTTCAGTATCAGTTTATATTTTATAAAATATTCCCAGCACAAAATTGATGCTCGATTGAAAATGTCTCAATGTATCAAATTTCATTCCTCATCTCAGTGGAAATGGTTACTAAATTGCTACTTATTTATACAATTAGCCATCTCAGAGATTGAATGTAATGCTCATGCCAAGAGATTGTATGATGATCTTATGAGTAGTTATAATCGGATAATTACTCCAAGTCTCGAACCAAACGGTACAGTTCGTGTTCGTCTCGGACTGAAATTAACGCAAATCATTGATCTGGTGAGTATTTCTCAATAACAAATTCAACTCAGTTCAATCTGAGTTCGAGTAAGATTCAAACGTAGCCTTTGACTACATTTTCTTGTTGTTTTCTAATGAACAAGTGTCGCCATCTAGAAAAAACTTCTAATCTCGATAAGAATCAATTCGTGAAATGAAAATTTACGATGATAGAGTTTTATGATAATTTGAATATTAATATAAAAAATTGATCCAGAATTCATAATGTCAAAGATTATTAATCTTTAGTAATAAGAAAATATTATCATGCAAAGATTTGATTACTTTTAGTTCAATCGAGTATCTTTTTAGTTTAATTAATTATCCTTTATTCAGCTCGAAAAATTAAGGTGATCATTTAACCTTTTCATTTGTTATGAATTTTATGCCAGAACTTGAAGCAACAAATACTGACCGCAAACATGTGGGTTCCTCAGGTAAGAAAATAATTCTTTTATTAAGGCCACCATGACGATTGTTCTTTATTCTATTTATCGGCAAAAGTCATTTCCAAGTTCGTTAAATGTAATTTAATGAATGTGTTATGTTCAAATGTGATTTCTAACGTTTGTTTTGTTAATCAAAGCAATGGTTTGACCCGAAGTTAGTTTGGGATCCAGAAAAATACGGCGGAGTGACCGAGTTAAATATTCCCGCTGAACAAATATGGCTTCCGGATCTTGTCTTATTTAACAAGTGAGTTTTTCTTTCCATGGTATTATTAAATCAATCGATTAGGATTATTAGTCAGACAAATACAATAGACTATGAAATATAACCAGAAAATTTAATCTTCCAAGATAAATCCAAGTCACATTCTGATTCCCAAAGATTTCAGTTCTAAATAATCCCATCCTTAAAGTTTGAACAATTGAAATGAGAACTTCTTAGTCTGTTTATGTGTCCATCATAATGGATTTTCATTTGTCTACAGTTGTCAAATGAATTACTTAGATTACTAACCTGTAATTCAGAATGAAATTGGTCCAAGTATTAGAAGGATAAAGATTCCGATACTGTAAACAACCAAATTTGAAAATTTTCTGTTTTTCTTTTCTCAATGTCCATTTAACTTTTATCTGATCAGTGCTGATGGTAATTTTGAACCGACCCTTATAACCAAAGCACTAGTTTCTCATACTGGTAAAGTTGATTGGGAACCACCAGCTCTTTACAAAACTACCTGTCAAATTGACGTTGAATGGTTTCCATTTGATGTTCAATCATGTCTCATGAAATTTGGTTCCTGGACCTATGATGGACACGAAGTAAGAATAAAATATAAATCATATCATTTTTATTCCTTCCTGATTACAAAAACGATTGTGATAATTTTCTTCGTAAACTGGAATTCTCAATTCTTCTCTCTCTCTCTCTCTCTCTCTCTCTCTCTCTCTCTCTCTCTCCACACTTTTGACAGGTTGACCTTCGTCATCTCAATCAGGTAGAAGGATCAATTCAGGTTGATCGTGGTGTAGATTTATCCGAGTTTTATCAATCCGTTGAATGGGATTTAATGAAAGTTCCAGCTCGATATGAAAATGATTATTATGATTGTTGCCCTGAGCCATTTCCGCACATAACATTTAACATCACCATGAGACGGAAGCCACTTTTTTATACAGTTAATTTGATTATTCCGGTTGTGGGTATATCATTTCTTACCCTTCTAGTATTTTACTTGCCCTCTGATTCAGGTGAAAAGGTTGCCCTGAGCATTTCAATTCTCGTCTCATTGACAGTGTTTTTCCTCCTTTTGGCTGAAATTATTCCACCCACTTCATTGGCAGTTCCCCTTCTGGGTAAATATCTACTATTTATCACGATACTTACCACCCTGTCAATCTGTTTTACGGTTTGTGTTCTCAATGTTCACTTTCGATCACCATCAACTCACGTCATGTCTCCTTGGGTTCGATCTCTTTTCATTGATTTTTTACCCAAAATTTTGTTCATCAAAAGACCAACAGCTCACGATTTAGCTAAGGAGCTCGCAGGTAAGCTATAAGCATAAACTATTCATTTCAATCGTTTGACGAAAAAAATGAGAAGCAAACAAAATCTAATTGAAATAAGTTCTCACCATTTTCATGTATATTTGAGCTTCTCCTTCATGATGACCATCAACATATGACTCTAATAATGAGACACAGAATAACTTTCAAAGTAACAGGTCATTAAACACCAATCCAAGCCACAAGTCAACATACACGTTCAGTCAATTTACTCTCTTCCGAATAGTAAATCTTATTAACCTTAATCGTAAGGGTAAAATCTAATAGCTGAAGGAATATAAAAAAAACTAAATTAAGTTATCAAATCTTCATTTATATTCACAAACTCAATTTCCTCCTTCAATTGTGTTACAATGTAATTGGAATGAGGGAGACGGAGGGTGGGTTTGGGTGGAAGTAGCAGAAAAAAAGATCCATTGGCCTAAAATAATCTTAAGTTACTCTTGTTGCATTTTTCTCTCATTCTCTTCCTCTTATCTTCCACTTTACATCTTATCTTCTATCAACCTTTTACCAACCCTTTTATCATCTTCAGAATCTCCATCTGAACTTCACACACCCTGTTAGTGCATTTTTTGCATCATCATCTTGAAAAAAGTTCTGATTGTCTTGATATGAACTACAAACATACATCATAATGTTCATTGAAAGAGAGTGAAAAGAAAGTAATAAGAAGACAAACCATTCTAATTGAAATTTTTATTATTCTCATTCAAACATTCAGTTCTTTCATCATCTACACCCTAAGAATCCACCCCACTCACCTACCCACTTATGCATTACTAAACATTCAATTGCAATTCTGTAAGATGATAAAAAGACTAAGCAAAAAAAAATTCTTCCTCCAATTGACTCTATTTCTTTTACTTTTGCCAAACTTTTCACTCAATAGAAAATTATATCTACTGAACAGTTCAGTTCTTAATCGTTTTTCCCTTCACTCATTTATATCATCATCGACTTTGTCGAATATGTTTTTTTTTCTCCTAAGAAACTTTCTCTCTCTCTTTCTCTTTCTTTCTTTCTTCCCTCATAATATTTATTCTATAAGTTATATGATAATATTTCAATCAGTCATCTTAACATTTTCATTTTCTATTCCACCCTCAATTCTGAGATATATTAAACACGCACCTAAATATATATACACACACAGATTTGTTTTCCTTGAATTTTCACCACCCTGGCTCCCAACTATGCAATCATTATATTATCATGATTATTATTAAATTATAATTTAATAATATTTGTTTGAATTGTTACTTGGCGGTGAAAATGAATTAAACTCTCAACTCAACTGAACAATGAGAAAGCAAAAGAAAAAAAAACTTTTCACTTTTCTGTTCAATATTCAGCTCCATGTTGATAATAATCATTATCATGAAAAATGATGCAACAGAAACAGTTATCATCTTGATTTTAATAACTCAACCCATTGACTATTCAATATAAAATATATATCTATCTATAAAAATATTCATAAATCTACATCATGAAATAATCATGATATCAATGATAATGAGCTTTACTTATGATGTAGTTGAAGTGAGTAAATAAAAAAATTACTCTAATGAGAATCGATCATCATTTGAATCAATTTTGGAATCTGAAGTTGAAAAGTTTCTTGAATTTCATGATGATGAAATTTTATCCAATTCATTGTAAAATATTCATGGTGTTTGCATATGCATCAACATGGGAATCAAACTGCAGCAAACAAAATTAGAGCTACTTGTTGCAATTAAGTGTCATTATTATTAAGAAATTAAAATGCTCACAATAACAGTAACAAGATTAATGATGATAATTAATGAATCTAAAACAATTAACCCAAATTTACAATAGATCATCAGTGATGCTAATCAAGTTGATTATCGTTCATAAACACAATTTGCTATTAGATTCCTCTAATTGTATCAATTTCTCTGTGTATAATTTATTCATTGTTTCGTTAAATTGTCGATGACCATTAATGTCCAGTCATATATTTAATTCAGTTATGAATTCAAATCTTTTCAGCTGTTTCTGGAACCTCAAGAATCATTCATACCTGTGAAGGTAATTGTGATGACCATGTAACGGAACAAGTGACCCCTGGAAATCAATGTAAGTCAATTTTAATCTGAAAACTTAGTTCCTCTAATTGTTATCATCATTATGATAATAACATGGCAGAAAATTAATATAATCAATTCTGATGGGGTTATTATATTGAATTCTAGATCTTGATGTTGATTAATGTTGATTATTATAACTGTTATATTATCATTATCATTATGATATTTTGTTGCTCTTTCTTTTCATTAATTACTATTGAATTTAATTCTGAACACTGTCAATGTTTAACGTTCTTTATACTATTATACTTGTAGCTCAATTGATTTAATTAATGAACTTTGTAACTAAATTGATTAACGTCACAACCATTCATTTGGTTCATTAATTTTTCTCCAATTTCTACATTCAATCAGTTTGAGAAGAAGCAAAAAAACGTATAAACTTATATATATAAACACGAATTAATCAGACAAACGCCTCGAATATGTTGATCGACTAGAACAAAAGTTCTTGTTCACTGAGTATATAAGAGATGAAACTTTTCATCACAAATCTAGAAACGAGAGATGAAGTAAAACTAATCTAGCAGATTAACTGATTATAATAAGGGAAGAGAATAAAGAGATTAATGATCAATTGAATGAACGAAAAAAAGATTTCGAATCTAAAGATAATCATCATTATCATTCATGTATTTGCATTATCTTTGATGAATTTATCATGATGAGGAGACAGGGAGAAGAAAAGTTCAACTTGACAGTGATTATAATCAGAAACCATTAGAATAGCAAATGGAAATTATTTTTGATTGTAATTACAATTAACTGATTGTAAGTTTGGAGGAAAAAAATCTTTTCTCAAACAATTAATGAATGGAAAACAATTTGAAACAAAGTATCATAAATATACATAAAAATAATCACAATGATTAAACATCATCATCATATATTCAATCATTGATTGTATTAACTACTTTTCAAGTTATTCAAAATTCATGATAAACAACATGGGAAATAGTTACTCAAATAATTCATTTGTATTGTGTTTCATTGGTTTCTCATTAAAGTTCAATAGATGATCATTCATAAAATATTCACAAGAATATCATCAAGTGAATATATTGAGACTATGAATTTTATCATGGTTATTAAAGGTTTATCATGGTAAATGATTAATCAAATGGTTTACTTGATCAAAAGATTAACAAGTAGTTAGATTAACATGATGTAAATCAATTGTGAACCCAATTGAAATGGACAAGCAAAGAAATTGCTACAATGTTTACTCATATAAATCATGAAATTAAATTGAATTAATATTGAATTTCTCAATGATTAACATTCAAATTTGATCTGTTTCCTTTTCCACATAGGGTATGAAAGCTACGATTGCCTGAGTGATATCGCTGGACTACCTGTAAATACTGATAATGTTCAAATTATTGGTGGTGATCATGATCATCATGGTCTAGGAGATTCAAGGATTAACCATGGAAACTTATTTAGATCAAATTTATACCAATCAAATTGTAATCAAATAAACTGGACTTGCAATAACAATAACAACCTTAACTATCACAACATTAATGATAATATCAACAGTAAAGGTCAACCTGTAACATCATCATCATCATGTAATTTTGGTGGTTTATCTGCATCATGTGCATGTAATTCAGGTTATTATTCAGAAGAGCTTCATAAAGCAATTGAGAGTATACTTCATATAGCAAATCATTTAAAGGAGGAAGATGAAGAGAAAAATGTAAGTAAAAGTTAAATCCATTTCCATGAATTATAATATCAACATGATATTCATACATATGAATACAATAAATAAAATATATATCTCTCAGAGGTGGCAAAGGTTAGATAAAATTTCCTCCACCTTTTATTTATAAGGGAAAAGGGTTGATGGATAGACATATACACTTAAATAGACAGTGACAATTAAGAAAACATCATCATCATAATCAACGTTTAACTATTAACACCCATTCATAAGTATAATTAAAATGTCACCTTATTATGTTTGCATGAAGGTTTTCTGTTCATATTACTAATGTCAAAGTAATTATTTAACAACCTTGATTATGATTATGAGTTGATGAACAAATTAACATGTTAATCAAATGAAAATACATCTTGGTGTTATATCAGTAAAGTGAAAAAGTTGATTGTCAGTTTACTTTGCAAGATCCATGGGAAAATCATCTGATAAGGTGAAGAAAAAAAGTTCTGTTCTTAATTTAATGTTTTCGGAACTTTCTCTCTTTCTTTCTTTCTCTCTCTCTCTTGGATATTATTCATTAATCGTATGAAGATTATTATTATTCAGGGAAATGAAGGGGCTGATGATTATGATGAATATTATCATGAATGATGGTAAAGAATTTGTTCCATGAAATAGAAAGTGAAGATAATGTGATTCCAATGAACGGATGAATAGGTTAGAGAAGAGGAAAAAGTTTCGATCTTTTTTTATACATCTTTTATATTCTCTTGGAACTTTCGATCGATTTTTTTTGTTTCTCCTACTATATGTATTTTTTTTTCTTCTATTTCCTTCTGTATAATCTTTACACTTTTCAGGTTATCGAGGATTGGAAATATGTCGCCATGGTACTGGACAGAATTTTCTTATGGGTCTTTTCAATTGTTTGTATCATTGGAACCTGTGTGATTATACTGAGAGCACCTTCACTTTACGATGCCGAAGTACCGATTGACCATTTGGCTTTGCAAATGCAAAGATCGTCCTAGTTTACGAGTTTGAACCCACGACTCAATTTATCCTCACATGAATAACCTCAATTTTTACCTTTAATTGTTCAATAAGACGATCAAAAGTTATATAAATAATAATTTTCAAACTTTTTCCTAAAACAAACAAAGAGAAAAAAAAGTTTCTCGAATTTATTTAAAGTAAACATTTGACGATTTTTCGATAATTCGAAAGTTCAATCACTCATGGTAGAGTAAATAAAGAATAAAGCAATTTTCCAATAATAATAATCAATAATTTAATTGTTTCATCTTTTTTTTAATCAATTGATTGGTAACATTTAACTTTTTTGTTTCGTCGATGACAAACAAACAAAAAAAGAAATGGAAGAAAAAAAAAATCGAAATCGAAAACGAAACTTGAGCATTTAGCATTCGTATACATTGTACGTTGTGTATTATTAATATTTATATTTATTATTACAATTGTTTCGATAAGATTTCCGAATAAGAAAAGAAAAGAAGGATTTAAATCTAATTTGAATGTCCATTTTGTTGGTCATTCCAATTTTCGTCGAGGTCCAGTTTTCCTTTTTATTTGATGATAAGTTTTTCCAATCCATGTGCATCTTTAATCATGGTTAACACTTTCATTAAATATCAAAATTGTATTAGTTTTACATTGTTACTATTATTATATTACATTGGCTACAAGTTTAACCAGGTCAAAGGTTAGATGGCTTTTTCGGATTAAACGGAAGTTTCAAGTTTTTGGACATTTGTGTTTTCTTGCTGTTGATCAATGCTTGGAAAGTTATTTACTATTTCAACTTAATCATTTGGGTAAATGATGTTTACTGCTATTTCTTTTTGATTGATTGATCAAATTGATTGATATTAAATTATTGAATCATAATGGGAGCTTTTTTATATATATATACATATGGATGCTCATTATCATTCATGATTAGCTCATTATCATCACTATTATCATGAAAATTTGATTGCTGGGGAAATAAAAATTATGCCAATGTTTTTGATGTGTGATTGGCAATGACAGCATCTTGATCAACATATTCAAATATATGGGGTGCATCTAGAAGGATACACAGGGTTCCTGTTAGGGTTCCAAGAAAAAAAAGGTACAACTGGAAACGATCGATAACCATGGCAACGTATTTCCAATCTTCACGAATCTATGGATTGATTTTGATTGTTTGTTCATTTTTTTTGTCGAAAAAAAAACGAAAGAAAGTTATATTTGTTAATGAGAAAACTCTTGTTCTAATTAAAAAATATTCTAAATTCTTACCTGGATATATTCATCTTCGGCTCTTAAATGTTCAGCGATAAATTCAATGGCTTCAGTTGCTTTGGAAGCCGCTGAGCTTAGACAGATCATATCGATACTTTGATTGTCTATTGATGTTTCATTTTCATTCAATTTTCCTCTATTATTATTGTTTGTTGTTGATGATTGAGCATGAGAAATTTGTTGATTGTGATAATGTTGTTGATAAGTTTTACTCATTTGAGGTAAATTGTTTGAAGATGATGAACGATCACCACTTTGATCACCGAGATAATTTGGACGATAATTTAAATTGGTGGGTGAAGATTGACCAACACCAACAGGTGAACCTGAAAACTGTTCATATGATGATTGACTAATATTTAAATCAATTGGTGAATTGATTAAATGTGAGGGTGGAGGAGGTAAGGGCGGCGGAGGTGGGGGTAATATATTCCCTTCACCCCCAAGGTCGGACATTTCAAGATTCTCTAGAACACTTTTTGAGGCTCTTGGTGAAATTGGCTGTTGATGATGATGATGAAATCTATTAAGAGGATGATGATGATGATGATGGTGTGGACCATGGTGACCATGTGGTTGACCTTCACCAGTTGAACCTAAAGGTGAAGGTGGCATGTTCACTGAGGTTGGTGAAGGTGTCATACGATTTTGTATTGTTGAAGATGTTAACTGTTGCTGATGGTGATGATGGTTAATCGATGATGATGATGATGGATAATGATGATGATAACGATGTGCATTTTGATTGCGTAAATGATGATGGTGTTGTTGTTGATGGTTATTATTATTGTTAACATTACCATTACCATTATTATTATTACTATTATTACCTCGTGCATGAGGTACTCGGGACGGATGATAATGTACACCAAGTGAAGGCATATCCATCATCCATCTCAATCGGGTTCTTTTAGGTCTTTTCATGTATAAAAACATTGGAAGATAATTGAGAAATATAACACGTATCCAATCGGGCATTCGATGAGTTCGTGGTCCACGAAAATTCCAATTTAATATAACCACTGTGACAAGAATTGAGATACAATTCATGATAAATGTAAATAATAAATACTTGGCAATCAACGGAAGCACTAATGATGTTGGAGGCAGTATTTTCGATACCAGCAGCAAGAACACAACCAACGAAAGTAAAATTGAAATACCCAATGTAACCTTTTCACCTTTGGGTTTTATGGATTTTTAATGAAAGAAAAAGATAAATTATCATTAGTTAATTGCTATCAGGGTTTAATCTAATCTCTCTCTCTCTCTCTGATTACTCACCTGCTTCTGCAGGTAAATAGAAGACAAGAATGCATAGGAATGAGATGAGCAATGTTGGTAAGATTAGATTAACAGTGTAAAAGAGAGTCTTTCGACGAATTGTTATGTGAAATGTTATATCCGTTTCCGTTGGTTTATTAAATTTGCTATTATTGTAAACATTGAGTATTCCTGGAACCTCAACAATATCCCAGGTACCACTTTTAGAGTAATCAGATAGGTCTACCCAGGGGTCAGCGTAAAAACTAAGGCTAACCTGGTCACCATTAAATGTCCAAGAGCTGAATTTCATTTCACATTTTTGCTGATCAAATGGAAAATAAGTCACATCGATTTTACATGAACTTTGATATATTGCAGGAGGAACCCATTGGACTTCAGAATTTTCAGAGATAAGTACGTTGCTCTTAAAACGAACCTCATAATTACCATCGGCACTTTTTTATCAGAAAAAAAAATAAATCGAAAATATTAAAATTGATCCTTATTTTTATTGAATTTCTTCATAATCGTTAATAATAAAAATCAATCAACTCACTTATTGAATAAGACTAAATCGGGCTTCCATACTTTGTCAGCGGGTAATCTAAGGACTTTGATTCCGCCGTAATCCGCGGGATCCCATTTAAACTGATAATCATTCCAACGCTAAGATAATTAGCCAATTTGATTGTTCGATTGAGTGTGTTATTATCACAGAGAATTTAATTCAAAAAAAAAGATAAAAAGACTTATTGTAATTATCGATTCTGATAAAGTAATTAAAGTTTAATTATTAAACGTTACTGATAAGATTTATAAGATTAGATAGAATTTATAAGATTGAAAACTAGTTTAGAAACTAATTGACTCATTAAATAATCCCATTAGATTACAATTAGTATTAATAGATTGTAACAATGACCATTTTCAAAACAAATGATTAAGATGTGAGATAAATTAAAAGCCAAATGTCTAAATGAAAGGATAATACGACAATCAACTAATTGTTATGGATGATTAATAATCCCATTTTTTACCATTTTTTGTGGGCAAATTTTGCTCAATATATTCGAGTATTAATTAATTATTGTTATCGACTTGTCTATCAATAACTGAGTCCTTTTTGATTACCTTTCCTGAAGACCTTCATCAGTTCATTAACTTATGGCTGATTAATTGATTGTCTAAGTACAAATCTATGTGCTAAGTTTTACTTCGGGATAATCCTTTTAATAGACGAAAGTGAATCAATTAGTGGGTGATATTTATTTTGTTATTCTTTTAACATTAATCTATGGTCATTTTATCATTGACCATTTAGACATTGGATTAGCCGTTAAGGTTGTAAAGGGTAAGAGGATAAAGATTAACAGGCAATAAAATCTTAGATAAACTTACCAGTTCCAACCAAACATTAGTGGTCATCACTTGATTTTTTTCATTCTAATTCGGCCAATGCAAAGTTCATCAGTAACATGAGAAAGGTTTTTTTTGAAGTAACATGATGATGGTCATTGACGATAATCATGATGATGATGGTGATGATGATGTAAAGGAAACAAAAAAGTAAACATATGGATGATAAAATGGACATTAGTTAATGGACATTTAAGTGTATTTGCATTGTCAGTTTTAGTTAATGTTTATATTGGACATCTAATTATAGCTATATGATTAAGTTAATCACGATTAATCAATAATCTATGTTTTCCTTTTCCATAAATGTTGAATGAGCAAAACTCATCAGAACTTGAAGATTTTAAGTTCACGATCAACATGGAAACTTACAGACTTATATTGGAAAGTTTTCCTATTTAGAATTAATTGAAAAACAAATCGATACCATTCAGTTAATCTAAATTTTTCTCTCGTTTGTGACAACTAGATCAATATTTTGACAGAATCAGCAATCAGACGACACATACGACTGTCAAAATGTAAATATTGATAGTCGATTATGCTAATTGTCTTCAATTAGTTTAATTTTATCGCTACATCTTCAATTTCGTGATTAACAAGTTAATCACGTCATTATTGAATTGCAAGAGGAAACAAACAATTTCAATCAACTTGACGATAATCTTTGTTTGCAAAGCTGATCTAAGGACAAGTCTTAGTTATCTTAATTAATTTAACTAATCATCTCACAATCAATGCAACGATATAAATGGATTGCTTGATAAAATTGATAATCTATAACAATTGATTGATTGCTTGATTGGCAATCAAAAACTATTAAAACAACAAGAAAAAGTTTCACATTTATTTATGTGATATTTGTTTTTATATCATTATTATTTCTCATTATTATTATCGCTGTATTTGTATTCACTTTGGTATTGGAAAACATTTAATGGTGATTATTATCTGATCATGAAGTTGAACTGAATGAAAACCTGAATGGATTTGAAATTAGTCTCATTAGAAAGTTGACAAAAACTTGGTAACAATTGAGATAATCATTATGACAATTTAGGTAGTTAATCGGTAACAAGGTAAAGTTACCAACCCTCATGGAACCAAATTCATGATTCAATTGAGTGGGAGGAGGTCGAGTTCATCTATTGATGAACAATTTATTTACTACCACACCCTTATTTTATTTCCTCTGAATAAAGAAGAGAGAGAGAGAGAAGAGTGATTTCATGTGATTCTCAATCGATTACATGGTGAGAATTGAGTGTTTTTGCTTATTCTCAATCCAGGGTGATGAATTTAAACACATTTCGAAAATTGAAATACTTTTGTATCGATAAAAATCAGATACATTTTCTTTATTTTTTTACGAGAAGAAAAAATATTAGTACATCTCGTTCAACAATCGAATCGTAATTTCCTAACGTAATCATCATCAACAACATTCCCTGATGATGATAATGGTTCATGGGAGAGAATCAAATGATGAGGTGAGACATTGAGATTTCCTTTTTGGTTTGTCATCATAATCCCTTCTTATTGAAAAAAAAAATCTGAGTCCGAATAAAGTTCTGGGTTCATCTTGGATCACATTCTTATCAGAAATTGATTCACACAGAAACAGGAAAATCATCAAAAAGTGTTATTATTATCAAGATTTCTACAAAATCATCAAGAGTAAAAATCTTCCACCATGAAGACTTATATAAGTTTCCACCATCTACCATTAATAAGTAAGACTTCAGAATAGGAATTCAGAGTTTCTGGAAATATTATTGTTCATTTGTTAGGGTAAGAATTTTCATTTCAATTCTCTCAATGATATACAGTGAATAAGTGAATGAGAGATGAGAGAGGAGAGAATTTTTTTTCCTAGACCATCAATCAATCAATTAGATTTTATATATCGAAATTCAACTTTAGTCCATAGAAAGATTGATTAACAAGAGAAATCAGAACTCAAGGAAAATCATGATCGTAGATTAGTTTGGTAGATATACTAATTTGTTTGCTTCTCAATATATATTAATAATTCGTTGAGTGATAAACTTTCCAATTATTTCTCTTGGTTTCTTGTATTCAAATCGTGTTCATTGATTGTCAGCAAGATCATTTAATATCAATCAATTGGTCAGTTTATCAGCTTAAATCAAATTATTAGCATTGTAAGTCAGTTTCATGTTATCGTTGATCAGTTGCAAGGGAATGTCAATGAATATTCAATGAACTTTTGTGCTGAAGCAAAAAAAAATGTAGTTTAGAAATTCAGAACTTTTCCCCTGGAATAGGAAAAAAGTTCTCATCGATTTTATCATGTTGACGGTTCCATATTATTTCATCCAATACTGATTAAAGGTATTCTCACTGAATGATCAGAAAAAAAGGGAATTATATTGATCTTGGTTCGAGTTTTTCTTTTTCCTTTGATTGTTGATCGATTTTAATTAAATTGATTCAATTGTCTTTTGATTCCCCCCTGATTTCCTGATTACAACTGATTAACTTGTTTATCCAATCCTACCAATTAAAAGACCAATTTAAATTAAGTTAATTTGATTTGAGAGTTAATACTAATCAACATTGATTATCAATCAAGTGGAAAAGTTAAATTGATAATTCATAATCAATGGAGATCAATAGAAATCAATGTTAAGTAAATGTCGTTTATGAAAACATTGTAAACAAACAAGAGGAGAAAAAAAAATTGAGATATAAAATCAGAGTAAGAAAATGATAATTCTGTTATCATGGAGCCATGATTTCCTGTTAAAGTTTCATCTTGAATTCAGATAGACACACGGATGACAACACAACCATGTATACTCAAGGTAATCGTATTTAATATTATATATACAGGGAAGTGGGAAAAATACAGATTGGCCAATATTGATAATTGAATTAAGAAAAACTGACAGAATTGAATCAAAGATACAAAATGAATCCATGAGGATGAAAATATAATAACTAAATTAAAGTCTTGAGATTATCTTCAGTTGACTGGAAGCTGAGAAGGTTTGAAGAAGAAGCAAAAAATTCATGAAGAAACTGAATTATCAGTGGTGGAAATTTTTTCTTTCATTCAACCATAAAGATCAACATTACAAGAGAAATAGAAAATTTAGTCTAAGAGAATAGAAAAACAAATCTTTAACTTGAAAGTTAAACAAAAAGTGAACATTTTAATTCTGAATTAAGAAAGTTGTACATGGTGAATTTCTGTTAGATCTCATGGAAGATGAATGAGGAGAAAGTGGTTAAAGTTTCAAGGAAATAAATTCATCAAGATTATCTATGTCTCTTTGTATTGGTAAAATTGTCCAAAAGTTTGACTGATAAAGTGAAAGTTGCAGTGAAATTTATTCACCATGAGATTCACAGGGAATCCTCATGAGGAAGAGAGATTGAAAATTCTCAATGAAAATATTAAGGATGAGAAGAGATAGAAAAGTGAGGCTAATTTTGAGTTTGAAATTTGACAGAAAACAAAGGGAGATAAAGAAAGAAAGAAAGAAAGAGACCAATTCAATTTATTCCATTGTAGAAAGTAAATAGAGTTGAGAGTCAGGGTATTATCATGAAATCTCCTGATATCACCTTTTAGAGCATCTGATTAGATCTGAAGGAGAGAGAAAACTTAACATTAAGTTTGATGTAAATTTTATTTCGCTTATATAGTTGAGTTTTATCACCATGATAACTGTTTAGTTATAAATCATGATAATTGATAATAAAAACAAAGACAAAGTGTGAATGAAAAACTTTTATTCAATTATCTCATCAAATCTCATTTCTAGATGGAAATTGAGAGAAATTCATGAAGGAGAAAATCTTATGTTGATAATATTCTAGCAATTGGAATAATTGAAACCAAAGTCAATAGAAAATTTAACTTTTTTTCTCTCATTCTCTCCCGTTTTTGTTTATATTCTGTGTCAACATCATCACGTTGATCATCTTGTTTATCATGATGATGCTGGAAACAGCTTGAGGTGACTTGCAAGTCAAAACATTTGAACCCATGGAAAACTAGGAATACATGAGGAAATCAACAGAGGAGAAAAGAAATAAAGAAAAAAAGAAAAAAAATCATCTAATCAACTTTTCGATTCTCTTTTCCCCTTCATCCTTATCCTTCTTTCTCACTCATCATCATCAGTTCTCTGGAAAATAGCAACAGAATGGGAAGAAAAACAAAACCGAAAGCAAAGAAAAGTACATAAATCATCAGCTGATATAATCAAGATCAAAGGTAAGAAAACAAAGGAAGAAATAAATTCTGGAAGAAAAAGCCAATTGTAATCAACGAGCTCCAATTATCATCACAATGAACACTCAAATAATCAAAGTTAATTATTTGAATCATCACCATCATCAAGATTCACTATTATCATGAACCAGGTCGCCTGGTCAATCAGGTTGATTTCGAGTCTGCAAATGATAATCATCACAATAAATGGTTCAGAGTAATAATAATAATAATAATAAACAAAAGTCCAATTTAGAAGCAATAATTTTCATTTCGAGAACAGGATTATCCAGAATAAGATGAATTGATTTTCTCTGTCTGGTTATTTACAGCAATAACAATGAGAAATTATTAAATTGTTAAGAAAAATGGTTAATCATACTAATCATCATTATCTAAATGCTTTCACTAGATAATGACAGTTAACTGTTGCAATTATTTTCCATTCTTATGGATTAGGTGAAAAACAAGTCATTGAATCTTTACCATGTTTTACACCAAATCATTTACTTTTGGCTCTATTTCTGAATATACAGAAAGAGCAAGAGACTGACCACCAACTGAGTATTCTAAAAGGCTGTTTATTTAAGATATTAGAGAGAAAAGATATAATCAAATGACCAGAGAGAGAGAAAGAGGGAGAGAGGTGACAATTTGTTTTGATAAGATATTTATCTCTATGTAATATATTCATCGGTAGGGAAAAAAGTACCCAGAGACTTTTGTACTATTAATATATGGCTTAGATGAAAATGTTTCTATGTGTAACTAATTATATCTC